AACGCAACATTAACGAGTAGACAAATTGGATTGTTCAGGAGCTTATTGTATATCATGCGTGGTCTTACCTGAAATCGGAGGAGGATTGTTGCGTAAGGAAGACTTGAATTGTGCGAATAAGTCCTCGGCTCACCGTTCTATGACCCCGATGAAACTGTGATAGATATCATCAGAGCAAGATTCCATACTTTGCGAAATAAAGCAAAAATATACTAAACCAAGAGGAGAAGGTGGCCTGCTGTAACCCTAGTCGCTTTTCATACACCTAACATCGCGGTCTTAATGGGGTCTCCTCTGATTTGGTTGGCTACTTCAACCTTACTCTATATGCTTGTAAATGAATCAAGATAGCTTCCCGAACTGGAAACGCGTTTGGTAGCAGCTGTTTCATCACACACAAATTAGCCTACGATCGCCTAATGCTGAATTATGTTTCGGTTTGTACTATTTTCTATTGTATATGTAATGCTAATGGCACGAATTCCTTCCAACCAACTTTCTCTTCGAAATGGAGAGTCATACCACAATATTTGATTAAGGAATTCTTCAAAACCCAGTTTTTCGTCAGGACCAAATAATGTTTTTAACTTCTCTCCTATTTCCATTGTAAATTTGATCTTTTCATCAAGCTGATTTATAGACATCAGGAATTCATTCGATTTTTTCTTCCATGAGATTAGAGCGCAAATTAGTTATTCAAGTATTGCATGAGCACTCATGGTCGAAGTGGTGATATATCGACTTCCTATTCTAATTTATTCATGTATAAAAGTTGCGATCTCATTGGAAGTCCTAATATGTGTTCATACATATTGAATCCTTATTGTCAAGTTGATCACTTGTGTTAGGGACTCTTATAAACTTGCTCAATAGGGCACACTTCTATGGCAGTCGGATACTACTGGATCAGAAGTTGTGGTATAGAAGGAATGGGTAAATGTTCTATGACAGAAGAAGGAGTGATAGTATACTTGTTTCCCGGAAAGTTGGTCAAAGGATTTACCTCACTTATTTGTGAAGAGTTGTGGCTTGGTGCTAAGACTGGCATGAATAAATGGCAATACCGACTACGATGCAGGCGAAATGTCTGGGAATATACCAAGTTCACAATACAACTCTTAGAATTATCGTAACTACTATACCAAAAGACTTGGGACAAGGTGTGTTCAACTAGGTCGCACTGACGACACGTTCAGGTTGTGAAAACGAGCTCAAATCACTTGTATACAGCTAAAGAGACCTTAACCAAAACAGAGATCACATCTTTTTATTCTTATCTTCGAATAAGAGTTACTATCGATAGTCACCAAGCTGTCAGGGTAAAGTTTGTCCTAAGACCTGGGAGCTCTTGAAATTATTTATTCAAAATACTTGTATAATCCATTGTTGATTACCTTTATGCATTCACTAAGCCGAGTTTGTGCTAACTTCTATAGGTGCTTCCAGCTATATCTCGATTGTGTCGATTGTTTGGCGAGAATCACTCCTGCTTGGTTAATCTCAGTAGCCTCGCTAATGAGACACATCCTGAGGTGCCCTTTGGCTCTGCATCATCAAAGTTCGATCAAATCACCTTTACACAGCAATTGGATGAGCTCTTTGCATCAGCCTTACACCGACTGGTGCGAGGTGAGACAAGTGCATCCGGTCGGTTCATTGCGCTCGCCTGCCCTGTTCGTCTTTCTTGTGGTCACCTAGTCTCGCGCCTTGGCCTCAAGCTGATTCCGACGCCTGTTTTTCATCAAAAAGGGTGAATATTTCCTAATACTCAAGCTTGTGTAAATAACAGCTTGCTTCGAGCATTTTATTCTGATCCATAACTTTGAGATTAGTGCTAGCAGATCACTTTTTGTGGTCATATTGTCCACAGTAGTTTTGTTCCACTTATTTTAAATATTTTGTGATGCTTACCTTCTCAGGCTAGGTTATTACATGCTTTCCATAGACTGAATATTGTGAAAAGGGATATTGAATATGTAGTTAGGCCCAGCCACAAATAGCAGATTGACTCACTTGGGTTAAGTTACTCTGAGTATTTTGATAACTTAGCCAGTCTGATGCCACTAAGAGCATGTATTTTTTACATACGGAGGAGTAACTAGTGCGCACACGTCCTCTACTATTCATCAACTAATTTTAGCCCCCACAATTTGTTTCCTTAATTTATCACAGCATTATACGTTTGGTCACAAACTTAGTATTCGTGTTCCTCGAAGTAAATATACTTCCTTTATAATTTTTATCTTTTAGTGGATACTCGATGCTTAAATTAACATTTCAAGGCCCTGTTTTATTAAAAAAATAAAGTTGTTTATCATTCTTTACAATTTCATTTAAGCTGCAATTACTTTAATGCTAATCAGGGTATTTTGTATACCTTACGTGAACTGAATAGCAAGATTAAATTATTTTGGCTTTAGCTATGAGCTATTAGGACTTTGGTTGTTGTGGAGTTGTACTTGCAGCGACTTGACAATGATGAATTAATTTTTGATTTTTGAATTGTATTTCGCTTCGTTATGTATTCCAAAATGCTTATCTAGGCTGGAATACCATTTTGGTTTCGCCTAGGTCTCCTGATTATCTCCGGTGGTATTCAAAACGTGGCCTCGTACTTTTACTGAT